TAGGGAGGATTGTGGAAGGACTTTTGGGGCTAGAAGAGACTTTGAGCATTGAGAGCTCAGTGCGATGTTATGTAGGAGCTCAGAAGGTAAGAATGTTGCGAGCTGCTCAGACGATGGAAACCTGGCTTATGAAGTTTCAGAAGGAGGCAAAGACTCTACGGGGCCTTTTGTGTGAAGAATCTGTGGTTTTTGTCAACTGGGGCTGAAGAATGGGCTGTGATTAAGAAGAGACCGGCATCATTGAGGTGAAATCTGGCAAGTGTTTCCCCGAGAGCAGAGAGAAGCTGTGTTCCAGAGGCAGCCAAGGTTGTATTTTGTGCTGGCAGTTGATGATCTAAGAGTCACCCAGGTGGTGTTGGTTTTGAAGGCATGAAGGGGTCATGGAGAGGAGCTGAGGGGTACCAAGTGGCCAGGTTGGAACCCTGAGGAGAGCCCAGGAGAGGCTACCTGTGAAAGTGCAGCCGGTTGTAGCAGAAGACCCTATCATTTTTGAGATGTTAGTACCATGAGGTGACCACCAAGAACAGCATCAGCAGTGGAGTGGAGCCAGCCTGATTTTGGAAGAGAAACTGTGTATGTCATAGAGAACAGAGCTAGAGAAGTGACCCAAACCCTTTGGAAGTTCAGAAGATCATGAGTGAATCCTAGATAATTGGACATTGAGTTATTTACATTTTTGGAGTTTGGATTTGCTTTGTTCAGACTGGAACTGTGCCCTGGCTCTTTCCTCTTGAATTAAGAAAGTATTTATTTATTTATTTTTTTACTTTACTGGAGCCCAAGGTTGAGAGACTAAATTTTAAGACTTTGGATTTTAAAGAAACTGAATTTTTGAGTGTTAGAATTTTTAAAGAGTGTGTGACTTTTAAAATTTGGAATGTTTATATTATAATGTTGATATTAATGCATGACCTTGGGGAAGAATAAGAATGTAAAGGCTATGACTTAACAATGTGTTTGTGTGTCATGTTGACAAGGGGTCAGTTGTGCTTGCTAGTTTTATGTCAACTTGACACAAGCTAGAGTTATTGGAAAGGAGGGAACGAGAAAATGAGAAATTGAGAAAATGCCTCCATAACATCTGGCCATAAGGCATTTTCTTAATTGGTGAATGATGGGGGAGGGCCCAGCCCATTGTGGGTAGTGCCAACCTTGGGCAGGTGGTCCTGGATTTTATAAGAAGGCAGGGTGAGCAAGTCATGATGAGTAAGCCAGTAAGCAGCACCCCTCTATGGCCTCTGCATCAGCTCCTGCCTCCAGGTTCCTGCCCTGTTTGAGTTCCTGTCCTGACTTCCTTCAGTGATGAACAGCAATGCTAAAGTGTAAGCCAAATAAACCCTTTCCTCCCCAACTTGCTTTTGGTCATGGTGTTTCATCACAGCAGTAGTAACCCAAACTAAGGCAGTTAGGAAGTATACAAGAAGCATTTGCTCCTTTCTTAAAATTTTTCTGTCAAGCTAAGTGTGCTTAAAAAAAATAGTCTATTAAAATCAACTCTATTAATTAAAAACATCTTAAGACTATTTGGAAGAGGGAAAAAAAGGCACTTTCACCTGAGCAAACAAAGAAATTATTCCATACTGTGTAATAATGTGAATTAAACTACCCTCTAACATATTAGTTTATTATGGCAGGTTTTTAACTGAAATAATACACACAATAAAATACCGGGAAAGAAATGAAAATTATTTCTATTTTCAGAACTTGAGGGGACCTTAGAGATAGATGGATGGGTTTATACAGACATGGAAATTATCCATTTGTAAATATCAAATACTCTCTACACCTCTGAGAAGGGGAAACTTTGCACATTCTGCCCGAACAAGAATGAATATTGTAAAGTATGCGTGTGGGAGAAAACCAGCTTAGCAATAGGAACATTGCTGAAAGTTTAGTTTATGTTAATGCATTGGAGTATGTCCCATGTTACTAGATATATCTGCACCCAGATGGTTTAATCTGGCCAATGCTAACATCATGGATTACTTAGGGTTTCTGAGGCTATTTCTTAGGTACGTAAGTGGCCCACCTTTCTAGCTGTTATAAAACTCAAGACATGATATAACCTATGCAAATCTGGGATATGCTTGTCCTGGAGATTGTCAGGCAGGTTATTAAACTTTCATTGGCTTTTGTGTTCTAATATGTAAAGTGAAGACAATGGTGACATAGGATGTACATCCCTAATCTGAAAGTATGAAACCCAAAACACTCAAAACCCTGATACTTTCTGAGTGTCAACACAAGGGCACCCACGGAGAATTCTTTGTGCAATGGGTTACAATCAAAAATGATGATACACTATAAAATACTGCATAAAGTTATCTTTGGACTTTGTATACAAGGTGTATGTGAAACAAAAATCTCATTATGTATATGTAAATAATCTGAGGAGAATTGTAATTCAAATTACTTCTGGAACCACGCATCTTGGATAAGGGCAGTGCCCACCTCATGGACTAATTGAAACACTATGCAATTCTCTTGGGCTAGGCACCCCAAGTGTGAACTGTTCTTAGCCCTAATGAACTGACTTCAGGAGACGACAGCTTTATTTTCAGGATCACTCATCAGGATGCCTTCAGCTGGTGGCAGTGTGAAGACACATCTTAGGTGATGCATCTACCAGTCCAGGAGAATCACATGCTCACACATTGCTCCCCTGCAAGGAACTGTCAATGCAGTGAAGGTAGGAGCCACATCTTAGCCATCTCTGTTAGCAAACTATACTTAAGAAAACGCTTCTTGAAATCTGATTTGCTTCTCACTGAGAAGTTTTCAGTTCAGCTAAAGCACATACTAGAGAGCAGGAAACTTCTTTTTCTCAATTAAAAAGATTAAACTGGGTTAAGTTTTGATCTGCAATTCTTTAGCCTAGTACTACTATTATACATTGACTTCCAAGATATTTGTATCCTAAAGTATGTCAGCTGGCAAGAACTTGATTATATCAGGACTTGGGGCTGGACCACCATCATGTTGAAAGCAAAGAAAACACTTTTTTGGGTTCAGACTAAAAATGAACTGCAGTTGAGATGCACAACATTTTTAGTCGGTGAAATTTCTAATTCACAACACAACAGTCTCAGAAAACTGCTCAGGTCTTCCCTTCTGCCTTTGAAGGGTCTCAGTGAATGCAAATTGCGTTACCATATCAAGACCTGAAATGTATTTAATCAAGATAGTAAATGAGATCTTATGATATTCTAAGAAGCAATGAAGTTTCAATTTTCATGTAAACTACCTAAAATAAACAGGAAGCAAACCAGAAAGATGCCCCAAAGAACAGAGGAATGGTTTTTTTTTTTTTTTTTTTTTTTTGGTTTTTCGAGGCAGGGTTTCTCTGCGTAGCTTTGCGCCTTTCCTGGGACTCGCTTTGTAGCCCAGGTTGGCCTCGAACTCACAGAGATCCTCCTGGCTCTGCCTCCCGAGTGCTGGGATTAAAGGCGTGCGCCACCACCGCCCGGCTGAGGAATGGTTTTTAAATGGGCAGTTTTTTCTAAGTTTCATTTTAGGCCACAGACAAGTATTTAACTCAATTATTTTCTATTGAGACTATTAAAATGGTTTTGCTATTGCTATCAGGATGTAATTTCAGATCCATTCAATTTTGAGAATCTCATATCACAAGTCTGGTGTATTTTAATGATGCTCCATGCACAATGCACTGGTTATGTTGACTAGAACCCTATAGTGGCTGGACTCAGGTAATTTAGTTAATAGTATAATTTGAAAGACACCAAATTCATTTCTTAGACAGGCTCCTGGAAATCTCTGAAATCACTGAGGCTTGATGATTGAAAACTTTTCTCTTTTTCACATTGTTTAGTGGTGACAAATTTAGGTCAGATATATTCTATTCGGAACACAAGATTCCCAGAATTATAAAACCAGGAACCCCCTCAAGGTCACTCAAACTGATGTCATTCTCTGAGGATGAAAACATTGCATCGTGAATAAAAGGACTCGGAGGCAAGAAAGCAGTGACAGATTATCTAGGATCGAATGTTAGCACCACATCAAGAGGGAGACTACTATTTCAATCATTTTGCTCCCCATTTGATCAAGATATTAAATTAGTGATTGTGTGCCAAGGTCTTATTTTTATGGAGATTCACATGTATTTGGTTCCAATTAACACTAAACACTTCGAATCTGTCTTTAAAATGGCCCCAGCTCAATTACAGGTTTTTCATTATTTAAGCTCCAGACTCTTCACTCACATGAAATTAATGATGATATGCTGGCCACAATTAAAAGCTAGGGCCCTTTTTCTAGAGATCTGTGATTTGATTCTGACTATTTGCCATTCTGAACAGGTCTAACAGTCTTAATTTTTTAGTGTCAGATATTTCCATATTATCCACATGTCAGTTCTGGAGGAAGCAAGAATGGGAAGAAAAAGTGAAATGTACTTTGCTTAAAATTCATGGTTCTAGCAGGCACTGATCATAGACATTCATAATAGCATTTCTGCCAATATTCACGGCCCTTAAATGTTCCACACTACTCAGAGTCCAATGTTCTTGCAGTTAAATAAAACCAGGAACAATTAAGAAGAGTCCACACAAAGTTAGCTTTACATAACATGCTCCTGGTACCTCTGGTTTTGATGGGTTTTGTTTGGCGCATTAGCAGACTTTCCAGTGAGCATTCTCGGACTGTCTAATTGGTACTTAAAAACATTTTCTCGAAATAGACTAAAGGTTACCCCCTCAATCTGGAGGATGATCAGTGTTTGTACAGTTAACTTTCGTTCTTTAAAAATAATCAGAAGCAAATGTAATACAGTCTAAATATAGCAGAGGCATTATCATTAACTGCAGCCAGATAAGCCCAAGTCTAAACATCAACAAAGCCCAAACACCTTTTCATGTGACACCAACGTGATCAACAGACCAACCGATAAAGCAAAGAGTAATCCGAAAGGTGGCAATCTGCGTGGACACCTGGCGCTTGGCACTCCAGCTACCAAGATAAAACAGTTGGGCAACACTCACCCGCATCTTTGCGCAGGCATCTTGTGTCGACTCTGTCCCTCTGAGCTCTTTGATCAGCATAGAACCTAAATACTAAAACACACACACAATAATTGGAATGACATATTAAAATGAGAGTATAAATGAGAGTAATGATTTGAAAACAAACTGTGGGAAGGCTACTGGCTAGGCTTCTTGGCTGTAAGTTGGTGATAACTTTAAAACAACTAGCAATAAGTGGCCCTGAATGGATGGACAGAACACAGCAGAGTCAGCCGTGACTTCTGAGAGCCATGAATCGATCTTTATAAACGTTACGGCGTGTTCTAAAGAGGTCAACTTTCAGATAGTCTTTAACTGCAAAATGGGGGTATCTAAAAATGCTTTCCCATTTTTTTTTCTGGAGGCAGCAATATCTGCAAAAAATAAATCACACTACCATCAGGGTAATTGCAGGGTTGCATGCGACAGCTGAGGAGTGAGGCAACATGGCCCCGTTTGGGCTTATTCTGCAGCATAGGTAATTAAAACGGGACTGTTAGGAGGCTGGGATGCAGTTTTGGACTTTTTTTTTTTTTTTTTTTTAATTCACAGCTGTGTGCCCAGTACTTCATCCACCTGAGAATGCACGTCATTCTCATTTTATAGGGACAGAGCTGACTCCCTGGTGCAGAGTGACACACGGGGAGCTGCCTGGGAGTAAAGGAGAACCTCCTCAGAATGTTGCTGCTCTGCGACTGAATCATGGATTCCTGCTACACAGCCCCACGCATTCTCTTGCTTCTGGTGGGGCAAATCAATTTAAACAAAATGTCTTTGCTGTCTGTGCGTGCCCAGCCCCTCACATTGAAAATAGTCAGTCCACTTATCAACTTTGTGAAACTTCAGCTTCAATATCTTTCAAAGTTTTACATGCATTTTTAAGTCTGAACCAAAATAAAGATTGTAGAAGAGGTTATCAGACAGTGTCCTGCTCACATGGAGGCATCTCAGTCAGTCCTGAGAACCAGGAGAGTACAGGCTCACTGAGAATGTGCAAGGCAAGGTGGCCAAGGCTCAGTCTAGAGCCTACACCCAGGGCCTTGTTCAGAAAGCCTCAGAGATGTCAGGTTTGAGCTTTGGGGGAAGCCATAAGCCACAGAAGAAGAAGACAGCCCAGTGAAATACACCCAGACTGGGAGGCCATTACCAGAATGTGTCTTCATCATTGATCTCGGCCAAATTCTTATCTCTTACACTTTTAGGAAAGTTTGCCCTAATTGACACATTTCTTTTTCTAAAGAGAGTCAGTTGCCAGGTTCAGCCATCTTTCTTCCCCCCTTCTGAAGTCATGCCAACCGTCACCTGTTCCAAAGCCAACAGGACTTGCTGAACATTCACTGTTCACACGTCTTGGCACAAGGGTTCCTTTCATGCCATAAAAAGGAAAGGAAACAAAAACAAAAACAAAAACAAAACACCAACCAACTAATAAAACAAAACAACAACAAAAAAAAAGCCCCGTACTACAAGCCATTGTTAATGACAAGGAAAGAATCTTGCATTTATATAAAGTGGCAGACCTGACCTTCTGAGGTCACTGGCTTCCTTTGATTTTACTTTTTATTTATGGTCTGTGGAAGAAACCCAGGCACCCCTGAATATTAGGCAAACATTCTATTTAAAATTATGCTTTATCACATTTTTTTTGTTTTTGTTTTTATTTTTTTTCCCCTGAGACAGGATTTCTCCGTGTACTTTTGGTGCCTGTCCTGGATCTCGCTCTATAGACCAGGCTGGCCTCGAACTCACAGAGATCTGCCTTGCTCTGCCTCCTAAGTGTTGGGATTAAAGGCGTGAGCCACCACCATCTGGCCATGTGGTTTTTGAAATACACAACTTTATACAGAAGCACAGAACAAAACTTACGCTAACCGGATTTAAAGGGTTCCAAAGCCCTCATTACCCGGACATTTTCAGGAAAAAGGGAAGGGAAAAGAAACCCTTCAGAAATATCTGTGACGGACACTTTGCTACATTTTCAACGAATGCAAACTCACCAGGAAACACATCCTCTATCCCCACTGGTGCCCAAATACCGAGTCTAGGGTAACTTACAAAAGCTTTGTAGTCACAGGACTGGAAGATGAGCTTTTCTGGATGATGCTGCCAGTACTGTACTGGAGTTGAGGCTGTGGCTTCATTTGGAGGTCGCAAGGTGATGGAAGGTTCTCCCCAGTCCCCTGTCTGGAAATGACATTTATTTTAGAGGCAAGATAAGCGGCAAGCAGGTTCATTCTCTCTAGCTAGTCTAGCTAGTTAGGTTTACCTAACACACCTGAGCTATAAATGCACAATGCATTTGGGTGTGTTATGTGTACATAAATATTTATTATTTTGTTTCTATATGAATTAGTTAGCATTATATTTTCCTAAAGCTGAGTATAAAGAGGTCAAAATTATTCCATTTTCAGAATGGAACCTTAGGCTAACTAATTTTAAAAATAAAACATGAAAATATTAGTAAGTAATTTACCAATTCATAATATTCTGTTACAACAGAAAAGTATGTCTGAATTTAAAAAACAGTGACTGAAAATTTCAGTTAGAATTCCTTTTACTTTAGAATATATAGTTTCATTCATTTCAGTTCCCAACTATGACATTATCATGTACTATGAAAAATTTTATATCTGTGGAGAAGGTTTTACAGGTAAGATACTAAACAAAATGCTAAAATAAAAAATCACTAATGGGTGACAGCTAATTTCCCTCACTGCAGAGACGCAGTGTTTCTACGATGGCCTTGGATGTCCTCGGTCGCCTTCTGCAGAACTACAGTAGCCCTCACTGTGGCGTGCTCGTATGAACACTGGCATGTATGTGAGACTCCCCATCCAGAAGCATGTCACATATGATGGGATGTCCTATTAGACACATGTCCACTAAGCCCGACCTAAGACAGGCCATTCCATCATCTCATTTGTTTAATATGAACGAACATTTTTAGAGTCAAAACTCCATCCTGTCAGGTCTTCCCTTGGCTTTAATCTGACTGACGTGTCACAGGTGGAGGACGTTTTATTCTTTTCCATGCTAAGCTTTCTGGCTTCTCGAAATTCAGTTCTTGGTTCTCAAATGGACGCAACTAAAACTAGACTATCTAAGCATCCCCAAAGCTCCTGTCTCCTCACCCAAACTTGGTTGGCCTTACAGAATTATGAGAAATTATTTTCCTTAGGTATTGGAAGCATATAATAAGGCATTATGAGCTCCCAAACCAAATAAAGCTTGGCTGGGGACCCAAGTTCCATGGAGTACTAGCAAAAGGGCTGACACACTGTGGGATTTCTGGGGAGGATTTTCATGAAGTCCATGTACCCTCAGGCACACGTTTTTGGGGAGAAAAAGGAAGTGTGTAACTTTCCCTAGAGCCCTTGAAAGGCTGTGGTAATCCCGAAGGCGAAGAAGCTCAGGCCTCCAGGAAAGGCTCAGATCTGAGTGCCATGCTCTCTGTGCACTTTAGAATTCTGTTAGGCGGGACAGAGGCAGCTGCCAAAGATAGAAAGCTCAAGGCAAGGGCCCTGCCTTCTGGAAATTTCTAGCTGGCTTTGAAAAGCAGGAAGGAAAATTCCGAGTCCTGTAGAAATGCACAGGCCTTTTCCTCACAGTGTGCCTGGAGCATTTCTTCTGCACGTGTATCGCCTGGCATCACAGGTGGGCCTTGGTAACAGCGTGCCCGCCCCTTGGCCTCTCCCGGGAGCAGGTGTCTAATGAGAACTCCTATGCCCTTGCCCTGTTCTCTGCCACTGTCTGTCTGTTGTGTTCAGGTGTGGGCTTGTTTGTATGTCGACTAATCCACCTAGTGTCTAATATTTTAACATGTCTCATTTAAAATATATAATGACATTTAAAACCTGTCACGGTAACATCAACACTTTTTTCTTTTTAACTTTATGGCCTACCCCTGGCTCATTATGGAATTTTCTCTTTATGTGAGTTATTTGTAAAAGGTATGACTGATGGCAGTTAATTTCAGGATTAAGCTCTTCTCTGATTTTATATTTTGACATTTTCTTTTCCTTATTTCTCAAACGTCTGGCTTTTTATTACTTCTTTAGTCTTTATAAAGCTGGTTATGCACCGCCCTTAAGAACCCATATAGATAGCAACGTGAAGGCTCTGTGCGATTCACTCCTGCTCTAAAGCTGAGTCTAAGAACCTTTATAACTCTGCAAACACTGCAGCCACGAGCTCTCAAAAGGTCTCCCCAAGTCTAGCAAACAACCCTCACTTATCCCGTTAACCTTCTCCCCCTCCCGGCCTCCCCTGAGAAAGCAACAGCAGCACAGGAAACAGGAATTGTACATGTAAGTCACAAGTGACGCCGTCAACAGAACAACACGAGTTTGCACGCCACTCCGTGGAATGATACAGGAGGAAGATCTGGGTGACATCCAAAGACCCTTGGAACCGGTGTCTGCTGACGTGACAATCGGCCAAGCAACAGATCTTCCCCAGGAACCCTACTGTAGTTAGGGGAGGTACAACTTGGCAGAGCTGAACAGGCAGGAGCTGGGGGGTTACTGAGGGCTGCAGGGGAAGGTTCGGGAAGAGGGCTGGTCAGGAGCGGTTGCAGTAAAGCAGGGAAGTGGGCATGTTCCACAAGTTAGTGCGTTCGGCATGCAAACCCATGTACAGATCCATTCTCTCACCGTCGGTTAGGCCACGCGCCTTCATGACTAAACTGTACAGACTTAAAGCAGAGCTGCAAGCCAAGTGCTAATCCAAATGTTTACATCATCCAGAGCAGTTGTAACAGCCATTTTGGGCATGACACACCAAAGCACACACTTCTCTGTTTGTAATCATCAAGATCACTTATTTAATAACCGTTTGAAGACATGAGTGGCACATCCACCTAACTGTTTAGACAGCGCCATCAACTGCTCTCCCAGGCCTCCATTTGCACCAAAAGTCACAAACCACCTGCTTTGGAATCCAGAGTGATCCGATAGGACCTCCCCTAGAAGCTATGAGGGAAGATAATTATAGGGGAGGGAAATATAATCCTTACTTTATTTTCCCTGTAGTCCTGAAATGTTGCTTAAATGTTTAAATATTTAAAAATTCCCCACAGGGATTGAATTGACCTTTCTGGAAACAGACTCTGCCGAGTTTTGTCATGCTTTGTGCTGATTCCAGAAACGCATTTTCAGAAAGAAAAGGGTTCTTCGGATTGGATTTACAAGAAAATAATTTTTTCTTCCTTGAAATTCAACTTCGTCTTTCTTAAAACAAAACAACAAAACAAAAAAACCTCTAATCTATGACTATTTAGATGAATCAAAATGTTGAAGCTCAGTGCTCTTTTTAGAGTCAATGTGAATGGAAGGACTCCAAATAGGCTTAGTATCATACTCTCGTGAAAGATGGGAATGACCTTGGCCTTGGGCTGGGATTCAGTTATGCTAGTTAACTGCCAGGAAAAGACAAAAGAATTCAGAGAACGAGAGTGTCTTAGGTCTCAGCCCTCCCTGAGGTAGAATTAAAGCAGGAATGAGCCTTAGAGGTGCTGACCTGCATAGTTACTATATGTAGTAGCAGAGAGGATTGAAAAATAAATGACTTTTGCCTTCATAATTTTGAAATTATATGAAATAATTTCAACCAGGAAGCCTTGGGTTAGCTCTTGAAGAGCAAGCTATACATTCATACATACAATACCTGTATTTCTTCAGGCAAGTGTTTTAAATTAAATCCAATAATTTTCCAGTTTAAAATTCTCATTAAAAATGAATAAAAATCAAACAGACCTAAGAGAAGTCTTTTGCCTCAAATAATGGCTGTCATAAAAATTCTTCTTTAATGAGAAACAGCCTAACCTTGGGAACAATGATGCAATAATAGTTAATTAGAGCAACAATGGACTAGGAAAAGTTTGGTGGAGATGTTGGTCATATTTAAAACTGTTACTGACACAGTGATCTTTAGAGGACTTCCTCAAGTAATTAAAGAAGATAAATTGAGTCAAATAACTTTTAATAATTGTCTTCAGGCTCTTTCTTTAGCACTTAGAATACTTACAGAAAGCTCTCTAGGTTAAGTTAATATGCTAAGAATTTGGTCATGGCTTAAAACTTCATTTATTGTTATTTGCTATATGTTTTATATATATATATATATATATATGTATATATATATATATCTTAAGGTTTTTTATGTTTCATTTTTAAATAAATATAATGGAGGAAATTCATTAAACAGGACAAAACATACATCATCAATTAGCACTGTAAACTAAAAACTCAACCTTCTAACATTATGGAAAAATATAATTTGATATTAGAGTTTTAAGTGGAACAGATTCTCTCCAACAGGTATCCATCAACCACCAACCATTAATTCATACTCTGGATGAGTTTGAAGGACTTGTAATTAGGCCATATATAAAATAATGCAATTAAATTAGACTTTATTTTATATCACTAGCTGAAAAATGTAACACCACTGGTTGAACTTAGTTATATAAAACTCACAGATGCCTCTTGGTGGATTTTTATTAGATCAATGACTCAGAAATGCAGCTTTTGACTTCTGTGGTATTTTATAAGGTAGTATAAACTGACATCTGGGGAAGACTCTAAGATCATTCCGAGTCGCAAACCTGACCATTGTGTACTCTGACAATGCAGTGGGGAAGTATTTTCTATATTTTTAATTTTCTTCTAAACAATTTCCCTTTCCCAGGGAAATCAGCAAATAATTAAAAGCTTTGATGATGACTTAGCTTTCTAACATTTATAGAGAAGTAGGATATTTTCTAAGCCTTGTATAATTCTTTTTTTAAAAAAAAATTAAAATTGAGACTTAATTGAATTTTTTTAATAGATGCTTTTAAATCTTTTCTGCTAGGAGCTACTCCCACCTACCTGCTTATAAATTTAGCTCTGAACATTAACAAACATTATTCTCTACTTCTTCAGAACACCCAATGAATAACTAACATGCTCTGAGGTGACAATTGTTACTCTGAGGTTTCACTTTCTGTGATTCTGATGATCTTTAGAGAAGGGCCACCCAATCCCATGAAAGTGATTACATTTACCTCCCACAATCACTAAGACTTTCCAGAGTGCCACACAGAGCTCCATGCTTTTGAACACACACACACACACACACACACACACACACACACACACATACACACACACATTTGGATGTGATGGTAAGGGAGGGTCTCCTCCCAACATTCTTCATACGTGGGACAGCCAGGGGCTTGCAGCAGTTGTTTGAAAACTTCTCCAAGAGCTCATTACAGTGCATGGTCATGCAGTTGTGTTTTGCTGAATGTGTTCTATTGAGGAGGAGCAGAGATGGCCACTTCTGAACACTTAAAAGCTGATGTCAGCACTGTGCACTTGGGAGGGACTCAGGGTCACGGAGCACCAGGCCAGGCAATGTGCAGATATCATGGTCCTCAAGAACCAGAAGTCCCATGCACAAAAGCATGGATGTGCCTAATGTGGCACCCCCAGAGAAGCCCTTCACATGCCGCCCCAAGAATTTTCAGTGATTCTCAACCAAACGTCTCAAGCTTTCAGACAGCAGACTAGCCAATGGGGGAAGTTTCAATGGATGTGAAAATAGGATTGTATTTTAAAATATAAACTTAAAATCGATGCCAGAATGTTTACATTCCAAGTAATTTTTCTAAAGTATGCAAATGTAAAACATGAATATTCAAATATTAAGCAGCTCAGAATAAAATGGGTCACAATTTCACATGCATTCCAAGGATGGAATCAATACCACCAAATGGAAAAAGGCTGAGAACCACTGTACACCTGCGAGAGCTCCTCCCCTCCTCCCTGGCTGTCTCCCCCAACATTTGCATCAGTTGCAGGGAATCTCATGCAAGTCAAGTATTTCTCACAAATAAAGTGCATAAACCCTTAGGAACCATCGGACACAGAGGGCTGACTAGCTCGTGGACACGGAGTACAAAATGGGCAGGATGATGCTGATATATACACGGTTCTCTATATATCACTTTACCCTTTGCCTTTTTCCTGTAAAAGCACGTTAAGACAGACACCTGGAATGAAAGCCGAAAAACTCACACAGGACGGGTTTTAACTGCGGGTTTCCAAACCAAGTATGTTTCTCATTTTAGGACAGCGTTTACACGTCAACCAGTCACGAAGCACAGAGAATGAAGGATAATCGACAGAGCATTTCGGAAGCCACCAGACATTACAGATCTTCCGCATTGCTGGGACAGAGTACCTCGGGCCGGTGACACAACACTGCGACACACTACACAGCGCAAGTTCAGGAAGAGAAAATAACCGTTCGTAGCCTTACATTATGAACCTGATGGATCGCTGAGAAAGGAAATCCAGCGTTCTGATTCGTCCATATTTCACAGACAGAGGACTGCCGGTATAAACAGAAAACTATCTTATCTTGTCAATATTTAAAACATGGCAGCTACCAACATCTATCCAGGAAGGGAAGGAGGGAGACAGCAGAATACAAGAATCACATTTCTTAAAAAAAAATAAATAAATAAAAAAATTAAAAGAATGTTTAACAACTGACTTCCAAGTCATTCTTTCTGATTGAACGTATTTTGGGTTGGCTGGGAGTGGGGTGCGGTGAGAGGCTAGACCATTTATGCATTAGTGCTATATCCAGGGAAATTACCAATAATTTCACACCTCAGAAAAAAGCAAACTATTTTTACTTTTGCCACGAAAGAAAAGCAGCATCTTCCCTCTTCATAGTGTTATTTCCAGAAAATAATCATTTCACCGAATTCAAGACAGCTGGGGAAGGCATCTTTAAAATCAGCTAACATCTGGATTTTTTTTATCTTCAATGGTCAAGAACTAATGGTAAGCGGTACTAGTGCCTCCAGGGATCTCTAGGGCAGAACTCTGTGGCTGGAAAGCCCCAGGTACCAGGTCCCCTGTAGAAGAGGGTGTACTGGAAGAGCCCCTACTGAGAGGGAGGGTTGGGGCCAGGGCAGCTCAGCAGCCACGTACGGGTGCGACGAACCAGCGTCTTTACTGGGCTCTCCACCGTACTAGCAGGCGTCTAAAACGGCAATGTGTGCTCAGAACCCAATGCTCAACCAACCGCCAGCCCTCCCAGGAGCTGCAGCAGAAACTTCCATATAACCTGTGGTGCTCATGGCCCAAGTTGTTTTTCAGAGTTCTTTTCGTGAATGTTGTCACCACAAAACACACTGTGATAGGGGATGTAATCCTAGTACTCGGGAGGCCGAGGCAGAAGGTTTGCTGAGTTACGGAGGAAAACTGTCAACAACTAGTATCCCTCCACAAACAAACAAACAAACAAACAAAAACCCCCAAACCCAAACACTGTGAAACTGAATAATAGGCTATGGTCTGAACTCACTTAGCAAGCGCTGTGTGTCCCTAGGAACCCCAGTGGATCTGACAGGGATCACTGCAGGGAGGGGACATATATATCCACAATACGTCCTGGAAACCCACTGAGGGGCCGTGCCAGCCATAAACAAACTATGGGAGCCAGCTTGTCCTGGATTAAAAGTTCCCTCCTCTGCCATCTTCTCAGAGACGCTCACTAGACGTCAGCAATCTCTCTCCAGTTCCGATGCTTCTCCACCACACTGGTGCCTCTGCCGTCTGCCCGGTGTGCTGGAGACAGATTGTGGATGCCTGGTATTCCGTATGGAAGTTACAACCCTGAGGTCTGGGCATCTCCCATTTATTGGCTCCCACTTTAAGCTTCAAGCCAATTTCTCTACAAAAGAGGATCTTCATCCTATTTTCCAAAAAAATTCATTCTCTGACAAGTCATGTCTTGGGGCTAATCATCCTACCTTCCCTACCCCTAATGGCTTCTTTCTGATTTAAACATACAGTGTCCCTCAGTATCTATGGGGGATCGGTTCCAGGACATAACCTACACACACACCTCCCGTACACTGCAAAGAACGTAACACACAGGTGTCATACTATACTGTCTAGGGACGAATGACGGACCACCTAGGTGATCTACTGTACTGTCTCTGAAAAGCATGACAAAATCGTACAGCACGTTTAGCATTTTTGATCTGCTGTTAGTTTTGTCTAGGGATGTAAAAAGGAAGGATGTAGAGGGCCACCTGTGCTGACTCTAGGCTTAGCTGGATTGGTATCTTTACTGGCACTAAATGTATTCATAGGACGCCCTCAACCCCTAGAACCCCCTCACCCATATTATGAGTAAATTCTGCCATGTGAGTCAAAGCCTCTAGCTCTTGCATAGACTTCTAACAGCACCAGGAGCTAACATGCCACCAGGCACCTGACAGAGGAAGAGTTCAACGTTCGGAGAGACTACATGACTGGCCGAAGCCCCACGGAGTTGGCGTGGATAACAGGTTCTGGGAAGCTGTGAGGGACTTCACCAGAGGAACTGCAGAGAGAGGCTTGGATTTCTGAGCCTGAAGCAAACATCTGGAGATGCGGCTGCTTCCCCGTACGGCCTCAACTCCACAGTTATGGAAACCCAGAAAAGTTTTATTTCCTTTCCACCATTAGTGTTGAATGGACCAGACCCACACAGGTAGATAGGAGCAAGACCACTAAATAGTTTAGATAGGCGGCATAGCTTCCCGGTCACTTTTCAATCATAAAGTTTTCCTTTTATATAAACTAATATCTCATTGGTGGTTCTAACTTTCCCCTTCCTCAGCATGGGCCAGGACACCAGAGGTAGGGAGAGGAAGGGTGTGCGCTCTCTTCTTCTAGGGGGATGGGGCGGTCTCTCTTGGTGGCACATCTTCTCTGTGTTTCCTTGGGAGGAGGCCTTGGGGAAAAGACATGGTCTTTTCCGTGTGTGAGTCGGATGGCTTCTGACATTTGGTACTACTGTTCCTGCACACACTCGTGTGGCGTGCAGGGGAGGGCTCAGCCACCCTGCTTTCTCGCTGCACACCCATGCAACTCCCATGGCGTGCACACGTCCTTGTCACACAGAGCAGAAGTCAGCCTTTTGGTCTGTTCTCTGTCTCTGCTGGGACACCCCTGTCTGTCCTCCGGGGCGCAGGAGGTGCTACGCGAATCCAAATGGGCCAGTTTCCCCTCTTGGCCAGCACTCCCAATCCAGATGCCCATGTCCCCTGGGACCCTTCCCAGCCCTATGCTGGAGGAGCATAAGGGTATACTGCCCTGTATTCCACGGGAATGGATGAAAAGTCTCAACCCTTTCCTCAGGGACTCTGTTCTCTGCCTGTCCCTAACACTGAGCCTCTGGCCTGGGGACAGGACGTGACATTGGCAGGAGATGCCTCACTGACTTTGGGAAACCCTGAGCAGGTGCGACCCTCTCGAATCAGCAGCTTCTCTTTAGGGTGTGAGGTGTTTAGTTTCTACAGGGTAATGCCCACTTAGTGTGCTGTTACAGGACAGTATCTCCCAACCATAACCCGACCAGAGCTGAGCAGTGTAGAGAGCACCCTACGCAACTTTGATTTCACCAGTGAAGTCCCTCAGTGAAGGGAGAAAAGCCCTCGCCTCTGCTCACATCTACTGAAGCGTTCGTGCATGTTTCTGCTTAGGGCAGCTGCTGCAGTAGCTAGCTTCTGTTGGTAAGTGGTCTTAGATGAATAAGGAGTGAAAACTTCAAAACTTTTAATAGTTGTGTGAGTTGTCATAAATGGCAAAAAAATCTGATTTTAAAACACAGCTTAAATGAAAGGAAGGTAGCTAGCTTTCTTAGTTAGGAAGATTTTTATAAAAAGTAGATACATTCCGGATAGCCCAGCTGTTTTGTTGGGCTGCTCGTCAGTCAAGTTCAGATGGGGGAGCTGTAACAGATGAATTCCTAATATGAGATGGCCTTTTTCTTGGACAGGGCCACGGGGCTAAACGCAGGTGAGCTTTCACTACGGAACTTGCTCCATCTATGAAGATACTATTACAGCATACAACATGTGCTAGGATTAACAAGCTTTGAGAAAGAAAAGAAAGGACCAGTGATAACATTTTATCTGGGGTGGGACGTGTTCTGGAAAATTGATGACTTAAAGCCACATTTTTAAATAATTTAAATTATGTGTTCATATGTGGGCTTGTGCATGTGAGCTCAGTGTCCTCAAAGGCCAGAAGAGAGTTATCAAATCCCCTGGAGCTGGAGTCACAGGCAGCTGTCATGGGTGTTGAGATAGTACATGAGTCCTCTGCCAGAGCAGTGCACACTCTTAGACATCTCTCCAGCCCCCAAAGCTAAGTGTTAATGAACATTTAGAACATCTCCATCTGCAAAGAGCAGTTCCTGGCTTACTTAATTTACCAGGTCAACTCATCAGCCACTCTAAATGAGAGAGGGATTTTCTTTTTCCACAGCTAAATTTCCAGAGGCCTGGAACACAGGAGGTGCTCAGACACATGTAAGGAACAAATGGAATCCATTAGGAGTTCTTGGTAAATGGTAATGTGCTACAGAGACAGTCAGCGCTGTTACTCATTATCGTTTGCATCCGTCTACTTCATTATTGCAATTTGTGCATTAGGAAACCAAGTCACTGCTGACACACTTCTATGTCTCAGAGATCAACCTTAGAGAGCTCTTGCTGGGAAAAAAAATCCTCCTTTTTCTTCCTGATGAAGACTGACCACAGGCTGTCACCTTTGCTGGAGAGAGAAGGGACGCCTGTCACTGCACCTCTGTATCGGAGGCTGCAGCAGAGCTTGGAGACAGTTCTGCAGAAGAACATCACTCATCTCTTGGCTCTTCCATTTGCTTATCACTGTTCTCCTAACACCCTGTCCACATGGACTGCAAAAGCTGATTGAGTTTATCTGAGCTGGAATTACTATGAAATCCAAATAAGTGGGGTTTAAGTGAAGATATGGTAGTCTTTAAGGTTTTTTTTTTTACATTTGTTTATTTATTTGCACAAGTATGGAGGTCAGAGGGCAACCCATGGATTGTGGGTTCTGAGGGTCAGAGTCAGGCCTTCAGCTTTGGTGCTAAGTGCCTTTACCCTCCGAGCCATCTTGCCAGCCCATAATACTCTTATAATTGTGACAACATCAACAACATAATTGTACTTCTTTGATGATGTAGTTAATACTCATTAGAAGGAATGTAATTAGGCTGGGTATGGTGGTGCATGCCTTCCCAGCACTCAGGAAGCAGAGGCAGGGGGATCGCTGTGAGTTTGAGGCCAGCCTGGTCCATCTAGGGAGTTAGGACGATGTAGAAACCCTGTCTCAAAAAGTTGGAGGAAAAAAAAAAAAAAGAAAGGAAGGAAGAAAGAAGAAGGCATATTATTTTCTCTTGGTTCAGAACTACTTTCCCTTGACACACGTTCCCTGTGTCCTTAAAGCGTACATCTAGACCCTGTTATCTTGTACCTTGGGTTACCATGACACCACTTCAGCCAACATCAGCACAAC